CCCTGGTTGTCTCACCTCCTACCTCGCCGTCCGGCCTGTAATGAATCGTGGTTTTGACATGGAGTCGAAACCTGAACTTTGACGCTTCATCCAAACACCACGACTCTCCCAGCTTTTGTTCTTCCTGCTGGTGTTTGCTCTGTGAAGCATGAACACAGCCGCCCGGAAAGCTCCCTGCCATCTAGCCTCTGCCAGGCTTTTTAACATAAACATGCACAGGCCAGGGTCTGGGTTCTGGTGTTGTTGTTTTTAATACATATTTTCTTACTGATTTCAGAGAGGAAGGGGGGGAGAGAGAAACATCAATGATGAGAGAATCATGGATCGGCTGCCTCGGACAGGCCCCCTGGGGGTGGAGCCTGCAACCTGGGCCTGTGCCCTGACCCAGAATCGAGCCGTGACCTCCTGGTTCCTAGGTTGACGCTCACCCACTGAGCCGCGCCGGCCGGGCCAGGTTCCGGTTTGGAGACTGGCTCTGGGAACCTGGCTCCGGGCCCAGGGTGGCTGAAGGCTGTGTGCGCCCAGCGGGCTGTGGGCTCTCCCCCCTCCCTGCGGTCAGCAGCTGTGCTGGAGGGAGCGTCCAGAGAACTAATCCCGCCAGCACGGAGCCCGCACAGGGCCAGCCGCCCGCTGCTCCATCAGGTCCGGAGCCCAGGCCGATCCTTTCCGGTCGGCCCCTTGCAGAGGGGCGGCTGCAGGCAGGTCCCCGTCCTGCCCAAGGAGGGTCCTCCTCACGGATTCCTGTCCCCCCTCCCTTCCTCCCCCAACAGCCCCACATGCACCCCACCTGCCCCACCAGCACCGCCCTCCGCCCTGTGTTTCTGTGGTCACTTCCCGGCCAGATATAGTGGACGTGGGCCGTGGCCTTCACTGTGGTCTTGCCCTAAAATGGTAATTTCTAGGCGTCCTGCGTGACTTCCCGTGCTGCCCGGGCTTCTCTGAGCAGCTGCTGCTTCACCCAGACTTTGTTGCCCGTCTGCCTGCGAGGCCCTCGGTGCTGGGTCCTCCCGCCCACTGAGCTCTCGGTGACGGCACCGCGGGTGTTTGCAGAGAGCGCGGTGGCTCCCGGGACCTCCCACCTTGGGTTTCTCTGCACCCCGCGTGTTACCACCGCCGTCGGTGTTCTGTGGGTGAGGGGCCTGCACTTGGGGGAAGATGGTCTCCCCAGCTCAGGCAGAAAGGGGCGCAGGGCCGTCCTGGGGCTTCTGGGCTCCGCCCGTGGCTGCAGAGCAAGGTGTCGGCTGGGCTCTCACGTGACGCTCTGTCCGGGGGAGCTCGCTATCCCCTTGCCGCTTTCCTGGAACTTTCTAGAATCAGAATCGACCCCGGGCCTCATCACGGCCCACTCCTGCCTGCTCCATGGAGGGACGCCTCAGAGCTCTCGCTGTCTGTCGGCCGCGGTGGTCAGGAGCCCGGCTGGGGGCCGATGGGCGGGGGCAGAGGACGGCTGTGGCCTCCCTGTCCCCACCCTCGGCCCTGAGCCCTTGTGCCCTGGAGAGGGGGCACTGGGACGTGGGGACAAGCTGGGGGCGTGTTTCCGAAATGCTGGTTAATTGTTGCGTTCAGGGCAGTTTTCTTTCCGTTCGTGTTATTGGTGGAAGTCGTTATCAGGTTGTGAAATAGTAATTCCGTGGCTAATTGCTGAGCCAAGCGCTCTGAGTAGGAAGCAGTGGCTCCCGGGCCTCGTTCTGTGTGTGTGTGTGTGTGTGTGTCTGCGAGGACAGCAGTCGTGGGTTGGCGCCCGCCCTGGTGACCTCATGGGACTCGATCCGCTCTCTAAGGACTGTCTCCAGATGAGGCACGTGCTGGGCCAGGGGAAGGACCGCAGTGTGAGACCCGTAATCGTCTCCATTGGACTGTGGGATGGGTTGGACATGTGAGTAAGGAATTTTATCTAAGACATAAAGAAAGCCGTCTTTCTGTGAGTTTGCGAAGACTTTCATGCTTGTTAGAATGTTGAGTCTTCATTCGAGTTGGAGGAGGGAACACAGACATCGTGCCTCTGCCGGGGGCTCAAGGGGCCAGGGCCAGAGCCCCGCTCGCTCCGCCCGAGGAGGACCCGCAAGCGTCCGCGTTCTGTCCGTCTCAGTGTCCACACGCCACGCGCTCTGGCCCGTCCTGGGCAGTTCAGGGCCTGCCTTTGTCCCAGAAAAGTCGACCGCCGGTCTCCCCAGGCACAGGAGACACGTACCTGTTAGGACGGAACCTCCTTAGACATCTGCTGGGAACGGCAGGTGGAGACCAGGCATTACCTTCTCTTCCCCCCCTCGGGCTGAATGGGCTCTGTGGTTCCGAGACGCTCACTGAGGAAACGTTGTACACAGTTAGCCACCAACAAGGGCTCCAGCTCAGCACCGTCCTGGAGCCAGCCCCGAAGGGTTGCACAGGTGCACAGACTGAGCAGCTGTGGGTGAGCCTGTGTTCATTACCCCAAAAGTTTGACGTTAGGTTCCCAGTGGGTTAACCAGCAGAGGCGGGGGGCGGGGGGTGTTAGTGCCGTCTCATCTCCCGGGATCTTGGCTGGAACTCCTGTAAGATGACTTTCTCACTCTGCCCTGTGTGACGGGGCCTCAGAGGAGGGATTCGTCTGAGGAATGGGCTGCTGGTGCCGCTTCCTGAGTTCCCTCTCTCTGTTGGTTTTGTTGTTTTTCGTTAATCCTCCCCTGCGGGTGTCCCTCAGGGAGGGAGGGAAGAGAAAGAGGGGAGCATCGATGTGAGACATCGATTGGCTGCCTCCCGAATGCGCCCCAGCCGAGGCCAGGGATCCAACCTGCAACCCAAGTGCTTGACTGGGAATCGAACCGCCGCCCTCCACGTGCAGGCTGGCGGTCTAACCCCGGGCAGCGCCCTTCCTCACGTTTCTAACGGAATGTTCCCGACGATAAGCGGGGCGAGCCCGAGTGTCTCTAACGCCCTTCGTCTCCTCTCCTCGCAGGGACCTGCGCTTCAACCGGATCCGAGAGATCCCGCCCGGAGCCTTCAGGAGGCTGAGAAACCTGAACACCTTGTAAGTGCCAGCGCCCACGTGGCCAGAGGGAAACAGCGCACACCTGGGGTCCTTGCACACCTGCATCCTCGCACACCCAGGGTCCTCGCACACCTGTGATCCTCGCACACCTGGGTCCTCACACCTGTGATCTTCGCACACCTGTGGTCCTCACACCTCTGGGGTCCTCGCACACCTGCATCCTCGCACACCTGCATCCTCGCACCCCTGGGGTCCTCGCACACCTGTGATCCTCGCACACCTGGGGTCCTCGCACACCTTCATCCTCGCACCCCTGGGGTCCTCGCACACCTGCATCCTCGCACACCTGGGGTCCTCGCACACCTGTGATCCTCGCACACCCGGGTCCTCGCACACCTGCATCCTCGCACACCTGGGGTCCTCGCACACCTGCATCCTCGCACACCCAGGGTCCTCGCACACCTGTGATCCTCGCACACCCGGGGTCCTTGCACACCTGAATCCTCGCACACCTGGGGTCCTCGCACCCCTGGGGTCCTCACACACCTGCATCCTCGCACACCCAGGGTCCTCGCACCCCTGGGGTCCTCGCACCCCTGGGGTCCTCACACACCCCAGGGTCCTCGCACACCCCGGGGTCCTCGCACACCTGGGGTCCTCGCACACCCGGGGTCCTCACACCTCGCACACCCGGCGTCCTCGCACCCCTGGGGTCCTCGCACACCTGGGGTCCTCACACACCTGGGGTCCTCGCACACCCGGGGTCCTCACACCTCGCACACCCGGCGTCCTCGCACCCCTGGGGTCCTCGCACACCTGGGGTCCTCACACACCTGGGGTCCTCGCACACCCGGGGTCCTCACACCTCGCACACCCGGCGTCCTCGCACCCCTGGGGTCCTCGCACACCTGGGGTCCTCACACACCTGGGGTCCTCGCACACCCGTCCTCACACACCTGGGGTCCTCACACCTCGCGCCCCTGGGGTCCTCACACACCCTCAGTCCTCGCACACCTGGGGTCCTCACACACCCTCAGTCCTCGCACACCTGGGGTCCTCACACCTTGCACACCCGGGGTCCTCGCACACCCTCAGTCCTCGCACACCCAGGGTCCTCACACCTCGCGCCCCTGGGGTCCTCACACACCCTCAGTCCTCGCACACCTGTGGTCCACTCACACCCGGGGTCCTCGCACACCTGTGGTCCTCACACCTCGCACCACTGGGGTCCTCACACACCCTCAGTCCTTGCACACCTGTGGTCCGCTCACACCTGTGGTCCTCGCACACCTGTGGTCCGCTCACACCTGCCTTCGCCGTGCGTGGCAAGGCCCCCGTTTCCATGGTGGCCACAGCCCTGACCGAGGTGCAAACCCAAGAGGCGGCTTTTCGAAGCTGCGGGACCGTTTCCCTGGCGCGAGGAGAGTGTTGAATCTGACGGAACCTCCCTCCTCAGGCTCCTCAACAACAATCAGATCAAGAGCATCCCGGCCGGGGCCTTCGAGGACCTGGAGAACCTGAAGTATCTGTAAGTCCCTTCGGCTCTTCGCTCCGAGGCGTCTGCCATTCACGGGGGGCCGTTCACTCCGAGCTCCGTGTGTCCCCCCCGTGAATCCTTGTGCAAACACCCGTGTCACAGAGCTCTCATTCAGAAGGAGCGAGACATTTGCGGGGGGCGGGGGGTGAATGCCTTGTCCTAAGGATAGAGGCTGTTAATTGTGTGTTTGGCTGCTAAGCCTTAAGGACAGTAGGTTGAGTGAAATTAAAATCCGGGGCCTCGGAAAACCACTCTGGACAGAGTCGTGCCACCACTTGGGGTGGGAGTTGCCGGTGTCCCGGCTGTAAACCAGGCGCTTTCAGGACGGATGGCTTTCCCGCGAGGCGCACGGCAGCCCTCGGGCGTGTCCCCGCTCCGTTACTTCCCCACCTGCCTCCAGGTGACGTCACCTCTCCTTGCTGTGCAGTTACATTTGGAAGTAGATTGTAGTTGATTTACTAGCGTGGGAGCCATCGGCCCGCCCGCGTGGGTTTGCAGTTCAGGATATGACCTTGGGGAGGCGCTGTTTTCCTGCCTCAGGGACACTGACTGTAAAATCGTAACGAAAAGAAAAACCCACTCCGGGCAGATTCCTGGTCTGGCAGGTTAGACGTCTGTGCCTCGTGCTTTGGGCAAAAGTATCTTTTAGAACTTGGCTCCCTTGTTGATGAGGGATGTATATCACTTTTGGGGGGGGTTATGTTATACGTGAATCTGAGCACCTGTAAGTTACGTCGGTTTTTAATGTCATATTGTTGGTGTTGATGTACATGTTAGAATTGGTGTGTTGTGTTCTTTTTTTAAGGATGATCTTTCAAAAATATTTTTTTAATTGATGTCAGAGAGGAAGGGAAAGGGAGAGAGAGATAGAAACGTCAATGACGAGAGAGAATCATGGACCGGCTGCCTCCTGCACGCCCCACACTGGGATCGAGCCCACAACCCGGGCCGGTGCCCTGACCAGGAATCGAACCCTGACCTCCTAGTTCACAGGTCGACGCTCAACCACGGAGCCACGCCGGCCGGGCTGGAATACTTTTGACGTTAGATGTCAGTGGTTCTTAACTACAGAGCTAACTTGAACTGTTTCTTAAAATACATTTTCCTCAATGAAGATATTTGAAAGTGTGATGTGTAGATGTTTTTCTTCGTCCCTTTTGGCGTAGTGTGTTAATTCTTTTTAATTCTTCGTGACCATCACTAAGCCTTACTGCTCATTTTTAAAACACGGGGCAGGCCTCCCGTCTATTTTTGTCATTTTTATTTGTGTGTCTGCTCTGTTATTTTTTATTATTATTCTAAGTGCTGTGTGCTCCAGAAGCGAGCTCCGTTCCTTGGAGAGCAGCATCCCCAGTGTGTGTGTAGCGTGTTTCCGTTTCACATTCAGTTTGAACTACTGACGAGCAATGTATCATTAACTTTGCAAATACATTTGATGCGAAGGAGTTTGGGATACTCGCTTCTCCCTTCCATCTCTTTCCAATGGTCCTTTCAAACCTGGTCCCCTGACCGCCCCCTCTCAGGCCCCTGCTGCAGCGTCTCGCCTCTGTCTTCCCCGGAGCGCACCCATGAGGCCGCGCCCCGTGCGCCGGAAGGTTTCACAGGTGAGGAAAGTGAGGCCTGAGAGCGGGAGGGACTAGTCCAGCCGTGGGCAAACTACGGCCCGCGGGCTGGATACGGCCCGTTTGAAATGGATAAAACTAAAAAAAAAAAAAAAAAACCCGTACCCTTTTATGTAATGATGTTTACTTTGAATTTATATTAGTTCACACAAACACTCCATCCATGCTTTTGTTCCGGCCCTCCGGTCCAGTTTAAGAACCCATTGTGGCCCTCGAGTCAAAAAGTTTGCCCACCCCTGTTCCAGGCCCAGCCTCCTTCCCCGGGTCCCGAGCCCGAGCCCAAGCCCGAGCCCTCGCGGAGCGCGTTTGGTGGGCCGGGCACTGATGGAGGGGCTGTGTGACTGACTCCGTGTCTGAGAAGTCTCTGCAGCATACTGTTCTGCCGTGGCCCGTCGGCGCCCAGGTGTGTGTCCGCATCTGCTGGGACCCAGTGACTCTGGGAGGCAGAGACCTTCGCGCCCTAGTTCTTCCCGACGGTGGTTTCACTCCGAGACGTGTTCGCAGTTGATTCTTGGAAGGTGACCCTGTGGAAACCAGTGGCGTCCCAGTGTCTTGACTGACATGCGTTTGCACGTATTGGTTTGGTCCGAGTGTTTTCTGTCTGTCTGTCTGTCTGTCTGTTTGTTAATCCTCACGGGAGGATACATTTTCATTCATTTTTAGAGAGTGGAAGGGATGGAGGGAGGGTGAGAGGGACACATTGATTGGTTGCCTCCCACATGTGCCTCCATCCGGGCCAGGGATCGAACCTGCAACCCAGGTACCCCCGACCCTTCAGTGTGTGGGCCGGCGCTCTAACCACTGAGCGGCCCAGCCCACGTGGTTATGCATCCTTCCCGGGGTTCCTTACTCTGGCTTTCTTTAAAAAATATGTATTTTTATTGATTTCAGAGGAAGGGAAAGGGAAAGAGAGAGAGAAACATCAATGATGAGAGAGAATCATGGACCGGCTGCCTCCTGCATGCCCCACCCTTGGATCAAGCCCCACAACCTGGGCATGTGCCCCGATCGGGAATCGAGCCATGACCTCCTGGTTCATAGGTCAACGCTCAACCGCTGAGCCACGTCGGCTGCGCCATCTCCTGCTTTTTTAAAGTGCACGCAAACACGTGGTCGCCGTGGTGTTCATTTTGTTTTGAAGAAATGCCCAGAAGTTCCCTCCTCGGGAGCGTAACTCACGCCGACCCCGGAGGTGCCACCTGCTGGGCCGTGTGCGAGCTTCATGCCTGTGCATTACGTGCAGTGACCCTGTCGGACGGCCGCTCTCTCCACTGCACAGGGAGGGCACCGAGGCAGGAGGGGCCGCACAGCACGGAGCGTTAGGGGTGGCCACGCGGAGTCTGTTCAGCGGCCTGCACCCACGTTGCTCACTGAAAGGCAGTCACGTTGTTCTGCGAGCGACGTGCAGTATGGCAGCTTCGGGGGAAAGTCGCTTGTTAGGCAGAGTGGGAGGCTGGGAACCCGGTCACTGGGGGCCGACAGGAGGTCAGCATGCAGGACTCACCTAGTTCCCATGATGCTCTGGGGCTCCCCGAGGTCCGACCCCGGAGCAGGAGGGCTGTGCTGGGGGCCAGCCCTGCTGAGACAGGTGGACAGACCCCCGCGGTTTGTCCTTCCCGAGCCGAAGACTTTCTAAAATAAATATGTTTTTATTGATTTCAGAGAGGAAGGGAGAGAGAGAAACATCAATGAAGAGAGAGAATCATGGATCAGCTGCCCCCTGCACACCCCACACTGGGGGTTGAGCCCACAGCCTGGGCATGGGCCCTGACCGGGCATCGAACCGGGACCTCCTGGTTCCTAGGTCCATGCTCAGCCCCTGAGCCACGCCCACCTGGCGCACCTGTCACTTTCCTGAAGCGGCAGGTGTGGTTGGAGCAGCTCCACCTGGATTCCCTGTGATTCCCTTGAACCTGGGTGGGGACGGGAGGAGCGGCACTTCCTGTGCGGTGTCCCCATGTCCTGCCCGCCTGCCCGCCCGCCCGCCGAGTCTGCAGTCCCTGCGCAGGGGACGCCGAAGCCGCTAACGCTCCTTTCTTGTTTCAGCTATCTGTACAAGAATGAGATCCAGGCGATTGACAGGCAAGCCTTTCAGGGACTTTCCTCCCTAGAACAACTGTAAGTGGCCCGCATGTGCCCTCTGCTGCTTAGGGAGTCCCGCCCGTGCCCCCGCAGGGAAGCGGACCCTGTGCCGTGTGCATGACGCATGCTGCGCGTGTGG